AATTACATTTACTGACAAATGTAAAAACAGAATTACATCAGCATTATTTCTCCCCTGAGGATAGACAAACTATTATCTCTACTGTATGTTTAGTAACCTAAGCATGATATATACAGACAGATGACAGACCTCTGTAGGCTCTCTGTATGTTGTTGGTTTTTAAGCTTGGCAAGATAATGGCAGGATGGACGCTCAGACGTTGCGTAACACGGCATGTCGCAGTAACAGTCTATGCTTGTAACCCACCACCACTGCAGGACTGGGAAGTGGGGCATAGTGACCTTGCTGATAATCCGTCTGGTCCCCCACCCCTCCTGACTGTGAGTAATGCACTGTATGAAATGCTGCAGGCCTGCTGTGTCTGAGTAATAGACAGTTTGAGGATACCTTTGCATATGGGGATGTATTACCCCTCCCTGGGCTGAGTGGTGAACATAAGCCACCAAAGGTTGCATTTTGGCCAATCTCTATATTGTTTTTGTGCTTAAAAAAGCTTTTCTTCCTTCTATGTTTTTCAAAATTCAACTCCCTCAGTTTATTACAATATAAGAACAGTTTGTTTGTGTTAATGACACAGTGTGAAGCAAAATCATAGGTGTTCTTTGAGCAGGCTGGCAGTAATGTTCAGAGTTGCGTAGGCAGCAGAAATCCAAGAGAAAGTGTGTGTGTGGAGGATAAAAAGTGTAAGAGCAGGCGATGAGTGAGCAAGGTGATTCTGCAGCATGAAAAATAAATCAGATTATTTCTGGTTTGGAGGGGAACACAGCGCAAATCCAGTGGAGATTATCTCATTTTACGCCTCTTTTAAAAAGGTTTAGGATAAATAATGAACAAGCACACACTACAGTGTTGATACAGGTTGTGATGTAGAATGAAAGAGCCAAAACAAACAAGCGAAACAAATAAATAAGGCATGAGAGGCAGCTTCCTGTGTTTCGAAAAAAAAAGAGAGGCGGCCCTGAAAAGCGAGGCAAGTCTGTGACGATAACAATGCTGCTATTTTTACTAACAGTAGGAGACTGGTGACAAAGAGCGAAAGGGAGGAAAGAAGGAACGAGAGAAGGAGTGTCAGAAGGAGCAAACAAAGGATCTAGTGTGAACTCTACCCGGAGCAGAACTGCTATTTTTGACAGTGTGAGGGGACAGACAGACAGGAGTGTGTAGTGTAAAACGGGGACAAAGAAAAGAGACATGCGCCCTGACGTCCAACCGCCATCACCACAACAACAAGACTTGATTGTGGCCGAAAGCTGAATTGTTGCATATGCACCATACATGGGCACTTCCTGTTTAGGGCTTGAACTGTGACTTACAGCTATACAGACGCATGACATTTGAGCAGAAAAATAACGCACCTCCCATTTGACCTCGCCAGCCCCCCTCAACTATCATCCACCCCTGCATCAATCTCCATAACAAAGGCCACACTGATACAGTGTGAAAGGACTCGGTAGGAGGTTATTCTGCCAAGATGACTGCAGGGTCCAAAACCAAATTCAGCCTGTTTATCAAAGCTTATGAGTTCTGACTTCTTTATCACATAATGCTTCCTACCGCGAACCGTCTTTGATCCCATGAGGATTAAGTAATATGATAGAAGTCTGCTTTTGTCTTTTTCTTTCATGCAGTAAAATTGCATGATAGACACGCTAAACTGAGGCCTAATCATAAGGGATTCGTGGGATTTTCAAAATGGCAAAAACGGTTTGCTTCATCCAGCTTGGATAGAGCCCAATATTGGCTTAGCAAAAAAAAATGTTGTTGATTACATCTGTTGGCAGATGCACTCATAGAGATTGCTGTGCTAAAATGCTTTATAGGCTCCCTTTTGGTTTCTTAATTAAGGTGTTAAAGACAGTTTTTTTCTGCTTAATACCTAAATATGTTCTTAAAGTGGACCTATTATGCTATATTGGAAAAATATATTGTAGGGCCATACCTATACAATACATGTCTGTGAAGTTTTTTGCTTAAAATACCAAATAGATCACCTATTGTAGCCATGCCTCATACTGCTCATACCCCTCTTTTGCAGCCCTGTTATGGCGCATTTCCACTACACGGTCGGCCTCGGCCACACTCGGTACGGCTCGGTACGGCTTGGCCGCGTTGGGCCTTAACAGGGCCGACTCACTTCATGCTGCGCTTCCATTACAGTTTAGGAACTGGGTAGTAACGCAGTGTAGGCGGAGCCGTGACGTCATCTTCAATGAGAAATCCAGAAACACAACACAGCCGTTAGCTGTGAGCACTCAGAGCTCACAGCTCCTTATATATGTTCAGAAACTCGACAAAAGTTAAACAAGTACACACCACAGACTGCCTGTGTCATGGTGAATACAGTCGCTGCTTAATTTATGTCTGTATAGGCCGTTGTTGTGAGTGTGGACGGTCGGGGCATATACTGCGTTAGCTTAGCCAATCTCCATCTAGAAAAACACGAATTTTAAAAGGTTTTTCGCCTGCCGTCTGTCTGCAGACTTGACAAAGCATTAATTCATGGTTTTTACTAACCGGTATCAGTATGTTGTTACTTCGGCATCATTTTGAAACGTGTATTACAATTAAATCACGGTCAAATATGTCCATCTTGTTGTAGTTCTAGCCCTCTTGCCAGCGCTCCTCTCTCTAGTTTAGCATACTCAGCCCGACTCAGCCCTGTTTGTTGGCCCCGATAGAACCACAATTTTCTAGGGCCAGAAAAGAGGGGAAAAAGTGGCCCCGCGCCGTGCCGCGCCGGAACGAGGCCTAGTGGAAGCACAACCAAAAAAGGGGACGGCACGACACGGCACGCTTAAAGCGAGCTACGCGCTGCAATGGAAATGCGCCATTAGAGAAACTCGGATTGTGGGTCCTTAGCTTTGAAAAAAAAAAGAGGAGGCGGAGCTAATGCCTGATCAGAATTCTACCGGAGATAAAGTGAAATGATGCTGTGATAAAACGCCATCCTGTTCTAAACCACGTCAAGGATTATTTCTGAAACAGTATGGAGCTCAAATGCTTTTTCTCTTGCGGGTTTATCACAAGGTGAGTTCTTTTTTTTATTTCCTGCTATTTAAACACTCTAAATGTGCTCTACAGTACAGGTTAGCTCTGAGTGTTAGCGAGGCTTGCTAATGTAAACAAAGACGAGATTACGTCCAAAACACGTCAGGCATTGTTTCTGATAGCAACTTTCTGTGGGTCTGCTGCCGATTTGACGTCATATCGGCAGCAAATCTGTATCCGCTCGTTGTACCCCCGTTTTTAAAAGATTTGGGTACGGAGGAAAAGAGAAAGGGTTTTATTTTCTGACGCTGCGTGAGTTCCCCGACGCACCGGGGACACATATTTATGTATAAAAGACATCAAAAAGTGCATTTTGCATGATAGGTCCCCTTTAAGGTATAGGTTTTGTATGTGAAGAGTTATGTTTACAGTGAGCATTGCGTGTGTTCTTGAGGCCTGACAAATATAAATGGTTTTCCTTCCTCGTGAAAACATTAACAGAGCAGATTGTCATGTAGTTATATTACCTTCCTTTGTGGAAATTATACATTTCTTGCATTACCCCCACCAACTGTCGCACTCTTTACCATTACTGTAATCTGAGTTGAACTACTCCGATATGAAGAGGAGTAGTTCATGACTTTAGGAAACCTGCTTAGAAGTTTACGCTGGTAGCATGTTTTCTTACCTAGCTTTTACCCGCTGTTTAAAGTCTTTGTGCTAAGCTAAGCTAAGCTGACCAGCTGTTGGCCGTAGCTTCATATTTACCATAAAGACATGAAAGCGGTTGACATTTTTCCATCTTACTCTTGGCCCCTGTTAACTCTTTTAAAACCAAATATAGGCCTGATAATAGTTAAATAAGGTATGAGGAAAATATACAATAACATTGTTGAATACAGCTAATGAATGCAATAAATAAACAGATGTTAGCATGTTATAACTTCTGCTAGTTTCAGTGTTCAGATGAAATATAATAAATTGCTTGTTGAATTTTGGGCACCAATACAAAAAGAACGATGGTTACATTTCAAATATGCTATGATGATGAAAATATAATGTATTGTTCATCCCTTCTCTATATATCAGCTCTCTTGACTAGGCTCTCCTGTGTGCAGCCATGAGGAGAGAGCAGTAGCAACTTTCGACTTGGCTGGTCCTGAAATGGCTTTCTGCGTGAGGGAATGTTTGTGATGCACACTGTCAGTGCACACTGTAGCTGGCCTCTGTATGCCTCAGACCTCAAGGCAGAGCAGAGCAGCGGGACAGAGCAGGAGAGGATCTGATGCTCCTCTCCAGATCATTACACCACCCGCCAGACACGGAGAGACACTTTAAATAAACTCCACCCCCTCCTCCTCCTTCTCCTCTCTATCCTCCTCTCTCATCTTCCAAGAGGAGATCTCAGCCTCTTTTCTCACTTCCTCCCTCTCTTTCTCACACGCACACACAAAACCACTCCATTCCTCACCCAGCTCCCCATGGACTTTCCCGCTGACCTTGCATTGGCCACAGCAGAGTATCTACTTCTTTAAAACAGGAATAATTATTCAGGCCTCTTTGTTCCTACTCCCCCAGCAATTATTTACAGAAGCAGCAGCTCCCACTGCATATCAGATAAGTATCTACATGGCAGATCTTTTGGGGCCCATGTCAGCTGCACAGTAGGAATGCAGGACCGTTCATTAGCAACTGGCTAGTGCGGAGGGGAGGGGGCTGTTGGTAGTGTGCAAAGCCCCGTGTTGAAACAGGGTAAAATCTAAATGTCAGCATCATTCTGACACCGGCAGAAGCTGAGTGAGTTCATTAAAACAGCTGACAGCGCCGCTGACTATGGCTGTAGCAGGGTAGATAAACTTTAAGGTCAAGTCAAACGGGCCTCTCAACACACTGGGTGAAACCAAACACAGAATATAGACAGAAATCAGCACCCTAGCTAGTTAGATGAGCGTCTGTTGACACCTTCATGTTCTACCACTCCATATGTTTTTTGCCACTGCATATTTTCTCACCTTGATGGGCTCAATGCTAAAGCGGATCTTCCTTGAAGGGGGCGGGTCCTCCTCCGCAGGCAGCCCATTAATCTCTGCACAGCTGGACTCTGGCTCGTAGGAATCATCTTCCTCCTCTTCCTCCTCATCCACCTGGCTTCCTCCAAAGTCCTCCCCCACCGCGCTGTAGGTACTGATATCCACAGAATCACGCCCCGACTGGTCCAGTGTCCTGTCTTCCTCCTCCGTCTCACCCCCCTTTCCAGAGCGAAGCTTCTCAGCAGTGGTGTCTCCGTTCTCCACAGAGATGTGGATGTCACCTTGCAGTGTTGTGCTGTTAGACCCCTTATTGGCCCCATAGTGTTCCACAGATTTGACCTCAACCCCTGCATCTGAAACTGTCTTTTCTCTCTTCTCATGTTGCTCTCCTACAGTACTGTAAAGTTCAGTGTTTTGTGTGCTTTGACCCCCATTAATGCTATCAGATGGAGGCGTCGCCCTCCCCCTGGTTCCCCTTTGAGGCCCCTCTTGGCCCATTTGATTGCTTGCATCTTCCTCCTTGCTGCCTGCTGCAAAGGCACAAACCCTCTTTGTGATTATTTTGGAGTTCAACACACCCACCTTGGCGCTGACCCCCCTGGAAGGGAGTGGTGGGGTAGATGAGAGGCGGTGGAGGTTGTTTCGGAGCTCGGCTGCCCGTTCAAACACTGCACTGAGCTGGCTGACTGTCGGGGACACAGCCTCGCTGCAGTCCAGGCTGTCCAGGGACTCTGTGCTGCCGTTGAAACGAGCCATCAGTTCCAACCTGCTTTCCTGGTAGCCTGGGGGCTTTTCTGGTTTCAGCAGGACCCTGGTGGTGGCCAGCTTCTCTGGCTGCTGCTGGATCTCCTGCTGCTGCTGGATCTCCTGCTGCTGCTGGATCTCCTGCTGCTGCTGGTTCTCCTGCTCCTGCTGGTTCTCCTGCTCCTGCTGGTTCTCCTGCTCCTGCTGGTTCTCCTGCTGCAGCAGCTTCTCCTGCATCTGCCTCTCAAGCTGCTGCTCGAAGATGCGGCGGGTCTCCTGCAGCTTGGAGTAGCTGGGTGATGAGGCCCTGGGGTGCCCATTCTCCGGTTTCGTGATGTCGAACTTGCTAACGCGTTCAGACACGGTGGACCCGAGCTTCAGCAGCGCGCTGTGGTCCACGTTCTCGTTCAGGCTCCCGGCTCTGGGGAGGGAGAGGCGCACCGATGTGTCGGCGGTCCTGACGCACTCCTCTCCCTCTCCCTCTCCCTCTCCCTCTCCTTCTCCTTCTCCTTCTCCCTCTGCATCGGCTGGGGAAGTGGTCGTCATCTGCTGGAACATGTTTTTGATACGGTGAACGTTGGAGCCGTACCTGCGCCCTCGGGGGCAATCCTGCATGTCCCCGTTGGCAGCATTGTCTTTGGCGGGCTTCAGGGCCTGCATCCCCGCTTCGTATGCGTTCCTGTGCGGGGATGGGCTCCTGAGCGTTGAGCCAGAGCCGGTGCTCTTGGAGGTGGATTCTGTCTTCATCATGGTCACTCAGGCGTCGCAACGGATGCTCAGCGACGGCATGTCTCCTTTCTCAACCCCCGGTGGCAAATCTATGTTATCCACCAGCAGCCGATCCGAGCAAGGTGGCGCCCAGACTACACCGGCAGATGGGGAGAAACAAAAACAACAGATCGTATTAAAGGCCTGCTTGCATCCGCTGCAATTCAATGCAAAGGAGAAAGTGAGCACGATGCATCTGTCATTAGCTGGCTTGCCGTTACCACAATGTAAACCTCAACGATAAATGCATTAGTCATAAAAACACATATTTGCACAGAAAAGAAGAACAGTAATGAGCCGCGGATTTACCGCAGTTGACGACAGATTGCTTACGTTTAATCCCTTTTTACAGGCAGCATCATTTTGATCTCTTCACTCCGTGAGCTGCAGATTTCTGGTCCTCCTCTCGCAGCGGCAGAGCGCTGCTGCATGGAGCCGGGAGCCGCCGGGTCCTAGTGCCCGTGGACTAGAGGCAAATCAGGTATATCAAGGGGGTAACTGTAACATGGAAAATAAGGAGTAAATTAGCTCAGTTAATTTGCAAACGTAGAAATTATGATTTTATGAAACATATTCATTCAGATAATACATTTGGTGCAATTATGTAAGAAAAGCACCTTAAAATGAGTTAGAAAGCCAGTAGAGATGTCTAAACAGTTAGCTTAGCAAGTAGATGGCTAAACTAGCTAAGGCTAACGGGTAAAATAGGCTAAAGGAAATGATAAACAGTTGATCATAAAAAAAGGTAAATACAATTGTTCTAGTCCCCATTAATCACACATTCTCAAAGTATAACATTTGAATCATTCTTACAAAAGTTGTATTCGGTAAATTATATTTCTATGTCATATCTCGAAATCTCGAAAACGCGTGTGTATGACAGAGTGGAAACTGAATTTCCCCCTCGGGGGATTAATAAAGGTCCATCTTCTTCTTCTTAAAAATGTGCTAGCTAGCAATTGGATGCATGACTTAAACCGCAAAAAGTAATGGACAAATTATTGAATCAGCGAAAAAATGTGGATTTTGATAAAGCTCAACATAATTGATAATTAGTGTAAAGGCTCAAGGTAACAGAGGCCTTGCTAGTGGATAATACATGGTTGAAAATGCTTCTTTTTTTAAAGTTTATTTTTAGCAGAAAATAAACAGTTGAATAGTTAACAAAAAAAAATAGGGATAATTAATAGATAGCATATCTCAATGGTTAAAATTAGGGATGCTCCGATCGATCGGCCGCCGATCGATATCGGCCGATACTCACTCTGCCGATCGATCGGTGCTCTCTAAAAATGCCGATCGTGAGAGCCGATCGCATGACGTAAAATTATGACGTAAAATACATGACACTTTTCTCTGTGCGCGGCAAAAAAACAAGCTTGCCAAAATTGGCTTCACCAGTCTGGCAGTTTTTTAAGGTGTCCGAAAATGACAATAAAATAGCGGTATGCAACGTGTGTGAAGCAGAAATCCTGCAGCTCCACCCGCTGTGACGGACCGGTGAGCGGAGCAAAACACACAAAAGTTAGACCTAACACACTATTGTATCTACCTCTGGAACAAGCTAAACTAGTTATAAATATATTTATTCTTCACTGTCGGGTCACTCATTACTGGATCAGTGAGCTGCATGAGACGATACTGACGATTTCTCCCGTGTTATTATCATAAGTTATTATCCAAAGTTAATGTAAACTTGAATAATGTACTTCATTTGAATGTAATAATTATGTTGGTTTGGAAGCGCCAGTGAATGAGCCCCATTAACTGAGTTTTAAACATCACAAGATCCCCATAGGCCCAGCCCACTCGATCGGATCGGCGATCGGTATCGGCCGATACTGATTCCGGCGATCGGCCCCAAAATTGGCGATCGGAGCATCCCTAGTTAAAATGTAAAGCCTGTAGGCAACAAAACTACATGGTTAAAAAAAAAAATGTGAGAGACTTTCTGGCTGATGTTTACAATGCTTACCACCAGTCCTTATAAATCTGTAGATCGATAGCCATGGAATATTAAACTACTGAGATGGATTTGGCTGTCAGAGAACAACACTGGCATTAGGACCCAGTCAACTTAAATCACGTCAAACCTCTGTGACCAATAACACATCCGTTAGTTGCAGGACACATTGTTGCTTCCTGCATTCTGCATCTGTCCTGATAGATATACATTAAACAGTATCACTGAAGCTAGACAAAGCATTTCCCTTTTTGGTTTTGAGTTTACACATCTTGTATCAGTTTCCAAATGTTCAACGGAGGCTGATTTATCTACAAGGGCAGGCCATAACACATTCATGCAGTATTTTCACACATTGGAAATAACAAAATGAGAGACTCATTTTCAAAGCTGTCCTTAACTTTCCCTTTTATCATAATATGTCCTTTTTTTCTTTTTATCGAAGGTGACTGTAGTCTGGAGGACATAACTAGTAGTATTGCTTGAAAATACTGAAGTGCTGTCAAACAGGATGTACATGACTTCAGTAAGGCAGTAGTGCCATCTAGCTAGCCTACAAACACATGTCACATAACTACACAAGGAAATATTTTATAAAAACATCTTTCTTCCTTGCAATATTGGTTTTGCAACAATCGGGACTTTCTTCTCTTAACCTGTGAAGGTTTTTTTCTGTCAGAATACCATGTCCCTATCACCATGGGTGGATTATTGGACAATGGGCTCTTGGGTTGGCTTCATAAATACAAAAAACAAACCTTTTTGTGTTTTGGCAGTTGTTCTGTTTCACTTTGCAATTGTTATTATCCTTTTGTAGTTATTTTTTGTCTTGTAGTTATTTTGTATGGTTGCTTTCTGTACTCCTGTTGTGTTTCTTTGTAGATGTTTCATGTCTCTTTCAAATAATTTTCTTATCTGTGTAGTTGCTATGTGTTACTTTTATGATAATTTTGGAAAAGTTTGTCCACAAGTGACATTTTACGTTTTCACTCCAATGGGAGTTAAAAACAAATAAATAACTTAATGAAATCAATCCCTCAATATATAAAGTTAAAAATATATATATTATGGATTGTGACTTGCTAATATGTCACTTGTGTTATATGTTGTAACTGAATACACTTTGTAGTTACTGTTGTTATTATGGTTTGTGTATTTTGTCAATACAGGATAAAAGTTCTTATTAGGCAGAATATAACCTTATTCAGTGATATTATTTTATTTAGTTGCTTTTCATTGTTTGATGCATTACATGTAACCCGAAATGTAATGTCACTCATCTAGAGCTCAGCATAACTTCTTTGTATATTTTATTTTTTATCACATGTTCTGTAGGTGTAATCCTAATCTAAAAAGTAATAGTAACTATAGTCATCAGATACATTTAGTCAAATAAATCAAACTAAAATATTTCCCTAGAAGAAGTATAAAGTAGCAATAAAGAAAAAAACGAATGTAAAGAACCTCCATATTATATGCAAGTACTTGAGTAATTGTACTTATTTGTTTTAAGTATGGAAACATCATGCCTAAAGTAACTCCGGTGGTTATATATCACCAGAGTGAATAATACGGCTCTTTATTTACCCCCCACACATTCACAGACATCTCCCCGGATGTTATGAGGTGAGCGAGGCAAAAATAGCTCTGACATGTCTTCTGCTGTGACCAAGCCCCTCTCCGCTTGGCCCTGTCAATCACAGACCCAAACAAGATGGCAGGCTGCAGGAGCTGGCTCCTCTGTTTAACAGGCAAGTTTATTCCTGACATATTATAACTTGATGTATAACAACTCTGGAAAGCCAGTTTTTTTTTGTGTCTGTTGTCATTTGGTCCTGAGGACATTTGGTCCTGATTTAATCAGTCGAGTATTGTAGGACTTTAACGGTTAGACAACAACATCAGACGGTGTGTGTTGTCATATTTTATTTTGTATGTCAATTAAGAGTTTTGCTTGACCATTCAGATAAATCTTTTGGTGGTTTTTGTTTTTTTCACATGTCCTCGCAGTTTGTGCCGTCAGTTTCTTTGAGGCAAATGCAGAGATCAAAGTTACCATTCCTGTGGGGAAGTTATTTACATACGAGCTGCTGAGAGAGTATTTCCAGAATGACTTTGAACCTTTGTCAAAACTCTATGGTAAGAATCATATTTATCCACTCTTTTATCATCTTTATTGAAGGTGTAGATTTTCTTATTGCATGTTCCTCAACCCTTTTACTCTCTTTTTTGTTTGTCATAAAGCTGGCCGCTTGTACGATGACCCCATGATTTTTAAGTGCAACCAGCAGAGTTTCCCAGACCTCCCAGAGTGGCTGCGCTTCACCCAGAGGCACCCCTACGATAACGGATTCCTGTACGGCACGCCAACTGCTCCAGGAAAAACTATAATTGAGGTCTGAAGTGATATCTGCTGCATATGACATCTGTGGCTTAATTTTCCGTTTTACTGTATTTATTCTGACATTATTGTTGTTGTTGTTGTTGTTCAGTAGATAAAGGGCCAAACAAGGATAACAGTGGAGACAAATCTTAATTATAAGAAGCTATCCGGAACATTGGTGTTAAATGTCAGGTTCTGCTGTCAGACCCTCGGAGACAAAAGCTTTGGGTGTTTCTGTAGTGCTGTTGTTTTGATCCAACTTTTAAAAAATGTATGAAGACACATATCTTTGAAGAAGAAGAGACGGCAAATGACGTGGAACTTTAATATCCTTCAAACAGAATGTATTCAAGCTGGAAAACATGCAACATTTTGGATGTAACCAACAACTCTCTATCTAATAAATACTCCTTAAATTCCCAAACTGCAACCCTTTTCAAAAATGCATGAACAAATGACACAGGTGCCTATAAAAATATACAAATCTTTAGTCATTATCGCTAAAAATGTGTAAACAGTCTGAAGTTACAAATATAACTATAATACAATCTTTAAATGTAATTTCCCATCCCATTGAAAGTCTGTTTATACCTGTAATTCACTAAGAATGCCATATATTTAAAAAAAACATTTTAAAAGACTGTCATTTTTTATAGTCAAAGTACATAAAGCCATAGATCATCAGGTCTTTCAGTGTTATTACACATTATTTATTAATAGTTAGACAAACTCAAGAGGGTTGAGGCATTATTTAACTTTATTTTCATATGCCATTTAACTTTTTATTTTATTCTATATTTAGGTCTGTTGCACCTATTTTTTTCTGTATTTATGTTCTTTTTTGTTGCAATAATTGCTTTAATTCTTTTTGAATAGGTTTACCTTTTGCACCAATACATCACAGCAAATTCCCTGAATGTGAAAACACACCCGTCAACTAACCAGGATTGATGGAAAATGTAGTCAAATATAGAAACAAAATGTCTTCAAGAAAGCGCTATATTAACAAAATCTATAGTGTAAAAATATGAAAACTGATAATTACTGTATGATGTACTGTTAATAATACACTCTCTGTT